ATTAGACGGCGTATTTCAGCTTCTCCCTGTCTCAGGTCCTTAAAGTGGGGATATTGAAAACTCCAGGAGTTTGAGAAGAAAAAGCGTTCGAAGCCTCTAAGAAAGCACCTAGCATCAGATCAACTTACGTTTCCTTGCCCCAAGTCCCTGGGCCTGAGAAAGCCTTTTCTCCTTTCAGCTCCTCGTTTGAAGATTTGCGTCATCCCCCAGTTCAAGCAGTTCTCTTATTGGCCCAGTAGATTCCAACCCAGGCTAGTGTTCTCTGTGATGCCATTTACATAGTGTTTGTAACTAAAGGAGGTTTCAGGAAGGAATCCAGGAGTTAAGTCAGTTGATGATTGAATTATGGGGGATTTATGAGTCCACTGCTTCCACTCCGGCCCTAACCGCCTCAGCTGAAATGGTCTTTAGTGATCATCAGAATAAATTTTATGGTTTTTTTTTTTTGCTTTAGATAAGATGCTTTTTCTTTCTTGTCATGAATATCTTGGCAACTTCTAGAATACTATGGGAGACTTGCTTGTGAGCGAATGGGCCTCTCTAATGCTGAAGTTTTGTTTTTAGAATTTGTGGGGCAAATGGGCATGTTATAGGGTATAAATTAAAACCTAGTTTGGTTCTGTCTCTTAAACCTCACCCACATATACCAATTAGCAGTCAAAAATGTCTGTACGTGTCAGACATTGTTCTACCCTTAAAATAAATTACCTTGCTGCTAACAGCCTTATTTAATGGCTACGGTTATATCATACCTGCTTGAAGCCTCCTTGATTTCTTCTGCCCAGAACAGGTGCTTTTTCTACCTTGACAGTATATCTGCTAATTGAGTTTTAGAAAATCAGAAAGGTTTTTAAGATGGATTATTTAAGAAAGGCACTAGAGTTGGCTGTTTGTATCCTTCTGCTGCACATCAAATTGTGTTCTGTAACAACCTGATTGTCATGATATCTATGTCAAGGGGAAATCTATCGAGTCACAGTGCACCCTTCTGTTTGGAAGAAATACTTGAGGATGTGAGCAGAAATTATTTTTACATAAAGGCTTCAGGCGGTTAAGAGCACTGACATACATATCATATTTTCATCACTGTCATTCACTCCCTTTGCTTCCAATAAATAGGTCATTATTATTCCATTGCAGCCATCTTCTGATGCTCCAGATGTGGAGCTCTGTTTAATATAGCTACTGTCCAACTGACCCGTATAATTTATTGGTGATTTTTACAGACTGATACCCTTGGGCCACAACCATCCATCAAGGCACTTTGATATCTTTCAGCACTTATAATTTTTTAGCATTAGTATTGTAACCATGTTAACATAGCTAGGAACTGTCATTTTCTGAGACAATGGACTTTAGGTTGGCCTTAGCAGTTTCATAAAAAAATACAGTAATGATGATGGTACTGCCATGGATTTGCAGAGCATGTTATGTGCCAGAGCACAGCGAAAGCAAACATTTGCAGATGGCAAAAATTTTACCTGAATGATTTATTCAGTAATGACACATTAAAGGGATCTGATCATATATTACTTAACTGTAAGTAATAAATAAGAATGTTGAGACTTTTTAAGAAATGAACAAAGAAACGAAAACTCTGCTGATTCTTTTGGAATACTTACCTTGCTTAAAATACAAAATCACGGTCAGCTCCTCTGCTCCTGTCTCCTTTGCAAATGTTTCATAACCTTAATATGAATACAGACCAAATGTACTAGGGTTCTGAGTAAAGACTAAAATTAGAGAGGATAGTTATTTCAACAGAACTATCCCATTCGAGCATAATTGAATTGCAGTTGCCTTCAAGTCCTAGTATCTACGATGGTGTGTGTGTGTGCTCAGCTGTGTCTGACTCTTTGCAACCCCATGGACTATAGCTCACCAGGCTCCTCTGTCCATGGAATTTTCCAGTCAAGAATACTGGAGTGGGCCATTTCCTACTCCAGGGGATCTTCCCAACCCAGGGATCGAAGGCATCTCCTGCATTGGCAGGTGGATTCTTTACCACTGAGCCACCTGGAAAAGAGCTCTGCATGATGTAGTCAGGATCTCTAAGGCCAAAGGGATTAAGGCCTTTTGCTGGATAGCCTTTCCATGTGTTCCTTTTATAAGCTGAAGATTCTTATTTGTTGCTAATAAATTTCCTTGAGGTAGAAGAAATCTCCACAATCCAGTGGACTAGTTTGATATTCTGATCTCCTCAAGGCAAGTCCCATGACTTGACACTGTATAGCATTGGAATCATGCAGTTTAATGTTTCCTTAATTTTTGTACTAGATTAGGTTACCGGAGGAAATAGGGTATTGTCCTTTCTGTACAGACCTTCTCAAGGGCCAGCAAAACCACCATGAAAAGCACGCTTGATTGGCAGGAATTCCCTGTTCCTTGTTCTGTTCTCAGATCTGGGAATAAGCCGCTCCCTCCAGCTGGGTTCTGAATTCTGTGTTTGTCACAGTAATCCACCAAGGGAAAAATAAACGTCTCTCCTTTTCCTCTGATCACTCTTCCTCTTTGTTGTTATTCTCTCACACTCTTCAGCCCACTAAGCTTTCCCTGCTGGATCAAGCTGGGGAAAATTTACCTTTTTACTTGCGACACGCCCTGTGGGCCTCATTCTCACACGCAGGCTAATTCCCTGGATCAGAGGCCTCAGGGTTGGGTTTCATTTTGGTTTGCTCCTCAAGCATCAGAAATTTTTGTTTATCTGAGGCTCTAATAATTTTTTTTCCTTATCCCTCTAGTTTCCTCTTTTCTAGACCTCTCCCAGAGGCTGGTCTGTTTCTAGTTGGATTTGGCCTAAAGCCATCTGAGGCACCCCTCCTCATGCTTCCCCACTGTGTCCTGCCAAAAAGGGTCCTTCAGCAGAAATATGATAGCAGGTGGGAGTCCTCCATTTACTCTAACTGCACCTCTATTTATGCCATCTCACTTTTTTTTTAGAATAGTATTTATCTTTGACCTTTGTTTCTTAATGTGACAAAGTGTTTTTTAGAGAGTGAATAAGCTGCCCTGAGTTGGTATATAATTACCTAGAGAGCTCCTTGAGTGCAGGGATCATGAGCTTTCATTCTTGTATTCACACTACTCCCAACATGTATAGTTGCTTAGTTTGGATCTGACATCTAGAGAAAGTGATGGCGGTGATGATAACAGCCCCCGTTTATTCAGTTTTTTGAGAAGCCAGACACAGGGCTAAATGCTTTACGTTTATTATCTTTCTTAATCCTCCTAGCAGCCCTGTGACATAGCTTTTCATTACTGTCCCCATTTTGCAGATGAGACACTGTCTCAGGGACTTGAAATAGTTTACCTAAGATCTTACAGCCGAAAAGCAGTCTCTCCCGTCGCCTTCCTGATTGGCCATCATACCTATTGCCTGTACTCTACCTTTCGTTCTGTAAGTGGAGATTAGAGATCAGTTTTCACCAACACTGCAGCTTCTTACAGGCTAGGACAATGGCATGTACTTCTGTATCCTCTGCTATGCCAGGTGCAGAATTGGACATTCAACATTATTTCATCTTTTGCTTTTGAAGTCTCCTCGCCTCCTACCTGTGCTGTGGATCATTTAGGACATTTCTGAGGAGCCCTGGCTGCTTCACTTGTCTTAGAAGCAATAAACTAGAGCAGATTTAGAGATAATCCAGGTATCAGTGGACTGAAAGCCTAGACTTTTGGAAATTTTCTGGGGTTTCCCAGGTGGTAAAGAATCCACCTGCCAATGCAGGTTACACAAAAGACATGGGTTTGATCCCTGAGTCAGGAAGATCTCCTGGAGTAGGAAATGGCAACCCCCTCCAGTACTGTTGCCTAGAAAATTCCATGGCAGAGGATCCTTGAAGGCTAGAGACCATGGGATTGCAAAGAGCCGCACACGACTTAGCCACTAAACAGCAACAAAGAGAGTTTCTAACTGGCTGGAAGAGGGTGGTCTATAGAAAGGACCTGGTTCAGGATTGCCTGGGGCTTTGGGTGAGTCATGAAGAACAGGATAACAAACTGAACTGTAAGCCTTCCTAGGATTTTATTGAGATTCCAGTCAGTTCCCCACTCCTACACAATAAATAACAGAGCCGCCTATATTTGGAGAATCTTGACATCCACTAACAAGGCGAGATTGTTTACTGAGCCCTCCCTCCTGTTTCTACTAAGTGGCCCCTTGAGTTTTCTGTGAGGTGACCAAATAGCTAAAGGATGTGTGAGGAGGTTGAGTACAGTCATTCCTTGGTATCCACGGGCGATTGGTTCCAGGTTCCCCATAGACACCAAAATCTCAGGATGCTCAAGTCCTTTGAAATGTGTACTTTAACTCATCTCTTGGTGACTTACAATACCCAGTGCAATGTAAATGTTATGTAAATAGTGGTAAATACAATGTAAGTACTATATAAATAGTTGCTGGCATGTGCAAAGTCAAGTTTTGCTTTGGAGAACTTTCTAGAATTTTTTTTTTTTTTTTTAGTATTTTCTGTCTGTGCTTGGTTGATTTACAGATGCCCAACTCTCAGATAAGGAAGGCTTGTATGTGTGTATTTCCCTTATTCCATTTGTGAGAGCTGCTGTTCCTCATGACAGCCAGTACTCTGACCCTTCCTTACCTCTCCAGCATACACACCACAAGTAAAGACACTGGATCAGAGGCTGGAACATGGGCATCATAATTTCTGGGAGCACGTTGATTCCAGGCTTCGTATTCTGCCCCTAGGTCTATCTCAGCTTAATAGACTCGTTTTGTGGACTACGGAGAAAGGCGTGCAAGCCTTGGCAAATGTTGCTGCTTATGTCTATCATCTTTTTTGGTCACACGGCTTGCAGGATCTTGGTTCCCTGACCAGGGATTGAACCCGAGCTGTTGGCAGTGAAAGCATGAAGTCCTAACCACTGGACCACCAGGAGATTCCTATTGTGTCTATTTTCTAATTTGCTTCTTGTTTCTAATTTTAATTGATCCTGTTAACTAAGTTTTAATTGATGGAAATTTTTTTCTCCTTTTTTTAAAGGCGATGGACAGAATTTGTTTACGAAAGACGTGACAGTGATTGAAGGAGAAGTTGCAACCATCAGCTGCCAAGTCAATAAGAGTGACGACTCTGTTATTCAACTACTGAATCCCAACAGACAGACCATTTATTTCAGGGACTTCAGGCGTAAGTTTCCATCTCTATAGCATTAGATGACAATTTTTTTTCCTACATGTTGTCTTGATAAAGAGATTGCCAAGGCCTTCTTTTTTTTTTTTTAATTTAATGTTAGATGCTTAAAGTTTAATCAGTTCTTCAGAGGGAAGAAGAGACATGCAATCATAATCTTCCTACTTAATAGAAACCTTGAATGGTCTTTTTTTAAAGTAAGGCAGTCTTCCTTTGCAATAGGAATTGATTGTAGTAATTCAAGGTGAATTGCAATTGAGTCCCAAATACTTAACTGACACAAACAACTCAAATAGGGTTAAGCAAGGAAAATATAGCATTCTCAAAGGTAATCTGTTTGGTTTGAAGATTGAAGTTTTCAAGGCAATCTGTGCCCATAAAGACAAAACCATATCTCCTGTCATCTTAGCCTGTGGAAGATGGAGGTGCCCATGTGCTGAAATCCTTCCAAATGTAAGATCATAAAAGCCAATAATTGAAACTTAATTGTATACTATAGCAGTGGCTCATATGGGTGCCAGGGCTTGGCAAGAGCAAGAGTCAGGTCTTTCAAAAGACTGCTGTTTGAGAGCATTGGTGCCTGCAAAGCGGGTTCGGACATGTCACTTCCTACCTGCTTTTCTCCGTTTTGCCAGACGCCTCAGAACATTCATGACCTGTGGAAAGAGTCAACAAACCTAAAGAACATTAAGAGGATGAAGGAGAGTAAGAGGAGAGAAGCCAGCTTCTCATTCTGAGAATGAATTTTTGTCATTAGTATATACTGATCTAACCTTTGCCAAATTAATAAAAGGATTTTAAATGGATATTAGAAATCAATAAAAAGCCCACATACGTTATTTTTGTGATGACTCTGAATTCCTACTTTATGCCTAATCGGTTTCATACTGTGAAGTTGAATATACATAGAAAACAGGATCAGAGCTCAGGGTCTCTGGGCCCCAGGTCACAGACGGTTGGCAGCTCCGCCTCAAATCACATCAAATGCAAAGATGCATCCCAGTTAACTTGGATTGTTCTGCTAAAAAGTTTTTTTTTTTTTTTTTAGTAATTTTCATTTTGCTTTTGAAATTACTAATGACTTTTTAAAAAATTTTCTCTCATGACATTAGGACCTCTATTTCTTTTAAGGCCTCAGATTTTTAGAGACAATTTAAAAGCCCGTGGGTTCTACTCCCTGAAATTTCAGTGCCCAAAGGGGCCTCCTGGCCTGCCCTTTCTTCCTGTTTTCATTCTGCCTATCTCTGATAGACAATTCGAAACAATTCATGAATAAGTGCTCAAAACTGACAGCAAGAGGTGTGTGTGCAAGAGTGTGTGTGTGTACAGAAACACACACCCACATGTGTCAGTTTCCTTTTCCAGCAGGGACGTTTGTCTACATGCAGTTAATGCAGAAGCTCTAAATAGCAACTCAAGAAGGGCAAAGCAGTACCCACCAGGTGCAGAACGACTTAATCCGTGTGTCTACTCTGTAGCTGGCTTTCTAGTCCCCTGGCTTTTTCCTCCCCTCCGGAAGGCAAATAGATGGTCGTCTTTCTCACAGTCACTAACTGTGTTTTGTTTCCCAGCTCTGAAGGACAGCAGGTTCCAGCTGCTGAATTTTTCCAGCAGTGAACTGAAAGTGTCGCTGACAAATGTCTCCATTTCTGATGAAGGAAGATACTTCTGCCAGCTCTACACTGACCCCCCGCAGGAAAGTTACACCACAATCACAGTCCTGGGTAAGGAATGCATCAGGGCTTGTCCTAGGAGATGAGAAGGGTAGCACTTACTGCCAGGTGGCTTCCAGCAGCTAGGAAAAGGTTAATGGTAAATTTTACTGTTTTAGGAAGACTCACCGCCCATCTTGCTGAATTTTAAAAATAGCCTATTTTACCAAACACTCTAAGGAATGGCAATCAGCAGGCTTTATAGATTCCACCTGCTCTTGGGTTTCAACCCTCAAGCTTCAGAAGCAAAGATCAAGAGAATTTAGAGCCCTCAAATGAATCACTCACCACATGCAATGTCATTGCTTCTAACTTCCAGGATTTTTTTTTCCTTCTGTGCAGAAGAGAGGGTGATGGGCTCCTGCATCTGCACCCTGTGGCAGAGCTCTGTGATGAAATCCGCTTAATGATTTTTCCTTCTGAGTTACATCTCGTTTAATATTGTTGATCTCCTTTTCTTCGGCTTGACTTATTGCCTTGTTTATTGCTCATACTCAAGATGATGCTGTAAAAATCATACCCCATGAACACATACTTTGCCACAAATTGCAACCATTGGACATAAAAGAATGAAGAGCTTCTAGGGAGAGAGGGCTGATTCTAAGCAAGGACTGTGGACTGGCTGTCGGGTACGTGTCTTCCTCTGACAAGTTGAGTGCCTTCATTCAGTGGTCCCCAACCTTTTTGGCACTAGGGACTGATTTCATAGAAGACAATTTTTCCATGAACTGAGGGTGGAGGGGATAGTTTGGGGATGATTCAAGCATGTTGCATTTATTGTGCACTTTAATCTAATGCTGCCACTGATCTGACAGGAGATACCAGTCCATGGCCCTGAGGTTGGGGACCCCATCTTCATGTATGATCACTAGGTTGTGACTTTCAGCAGAATCCTGGTAGCCAGGTTTCCATGTGTGTGTTTTGACAGAATGAGCAGATATTCCTGTGATAAAGGTGGTCTGAATTAGTCACCTTTTAGACAAATATATGCTCCAGTACATAACACCAGCTGCTTTGGATTTTTGAAACTGAGTTTTCAAGGACGTACATATAACAAGAGGCAAGATCTCTGATTTACACCTTTGGGAAGATGATGAATCAAAGTCTATTTGAGGCAGCAGACTGCAGCTTTTCAGTGTAATGATATGAAGATTAAAGGGGAAAGATAAATATGAAGGACGTTTTTGCTTAGTGTGTGTGAACATATATGTATTTATGGATGTACGTATTAAGCTGCTGCCTCATTGCTCTATTTAAACACAGCTGTAATAGGGAGCATTTTTTTTTAATTCATTGAACTAAAACATATCCCTAATGCTTACATATATGTTATTGATAAGAGGAACACTGATTTTAGAAAGTCATGTTTTATGTCCAGCCATTCTGCTTCTTCTGTGGTCTGTGTTTGATGGTGTATATATATTTATCTCTAACTGCACCTTTGATCCCTTTTAGACTGACAGAAATAGTAAGTGTGGAAGGTTTGGCTGGGATGACTATTTTGGTATTTGGCAGATGTACCAAAAGTTTTCAGTAGATGTCTTTGAAACCACTTGTTTGCTTGTTGGAGCTATCTAACCTTCAAATTGACCATATTCCCTTTGACCCACCATTGTCTATGGCATGCCCACAAAAGAAAACTAGATGGAATATACTTAAGGCATTTTGAATTCTCAGGATGTTTTGTTTCATATACCTTTAAGTTTGAATGTCTTTATTTCAAAGAGATAGATAACAATAGATGTGAGCCGTCTTGTCCAGGACAAAGCACATGGTGAGAATCAAGAATTTTAGAGTTTGAAACAGACCTTACTCTTCTGGCTCATAACCTCTGGCTCTTCTAGTCTAGGTTGTTTTCAATAAAATGCTGAATGTTGCTGTTTCAGGATTTTCCCTCTAGAGGTAACTTATTTTGTTTGCAAGAGTGTATCTGGTCTTTGACAAGCAGTTACTGCCTGTCAGTTTTCAGTACTTGGTACATTTGTTCTCAGACCCACTGGATCGGTCCAGTTGGACTGAATACACCCAGCACTAGACTTTTGAGAGGCATTATGCCTGTAATCCTTTCGGAGGTCTGCTTATTCTAGAAGTAGTAGATTTCTTGCTTATATTGTATAGAAACATTAACTTAAAGGTACCTCGAAGGTAATACTCGTAGATGCCCCTTTTGCATACATTATGCATTCATTTAATACTCCTTCCATTGAATTTATTCTAGGATTCTTTGACAGAGTCAAATTGTTATCATCAGTGCTTGAGTCTTTCATATTCCACAATCTGACAATTTCCACTGATACTCATATAGTCAAAGCTTCCTCCTAAGGTTTAGCATTTTCAGATATTATAATGAATGAAGAATGATCTATTAGCATCATCTTCATTTCTATCTGTGGTTCTCTGAAAAGGACCCCATATGTACTTACACAGCTGTCAAACTTCTTGATTGGTTGAAGATGCTCATTTTAGTGCATGCATCTTTATTAGTTGCTTGAAGCTTTCAGCATGATTATAAGACATAGAGATGGGGATTTGTTAGTTACCATTATGTTTATCATCTTACCCCTGTAAAAACTTAAAACTCTCCTATGATATTTTACTTGCATTTTGGTGCCTCTTAGGATATTCATCCACTCCTTCCACTTGTGATGAGCTTGTTCCTGTCTCCAGATCATAGTGTTGTTGTTTAGTCATGTCTGACTCTTTTGGAATTCCATGGACTGAAGCCCACCAGGCTCCTCTGTCAGTGGGATTTTCCAGGCAAGAGTACTGGAGTCACCATTTCCTTCTCCAGGGTGTCCTCCCGACTCAGGGATTGAACCCATGTCTCCTGTTTGGCAGGCGGATTCTTTACTGCTGAGCCACCTGAGAATCCATAGGCATCGTAGTACAGGACTCTCTTCATACTACTGTTCATGAGAGGAGATGAACAAGAGAGAGAATATACTGCTTTATGATTAGTATAGTTACTAATAATAATCACTAATATTATTACAATCCTGTCCTTCTAAGATTAGTGTTCACTCTTAAGATTCCAGGGACAGGAGAATCTAATTATTTTAAAGGGTCTTAGAGTGAGATTCCACGCACTGATCAGCTTTAAGGCTTCTCTTTTGTTGTAATTAATGTGGCTCATCTTGATATTGCTGATTTTTTTAATGTTGTAGGTGTAATGTTTATAATTAGCACTCTTATAGATTTGAGGTTAGTGAAGAAGAACCTCGGCATTTCTCTGCTATTTTCTAGTATTTCCCTCTCTGTGACTTTTATTCGTATTTACATCTCCTTTCATATATCTTTGGTTATTTTCATTAATGGCTGCAGTTTTTACTAAATGTGTCTGTTTAGTGTACCATGTATAAGTGTATTCTCTGGTTAGTAGCAGTTTTAATTCATTTTTCCTTATAAATGGATTTTTATACTTTACTAACCTCTTTCATATTGAATAGACATTACGAAGTTAAAGGGAAAACAGGGGAGAATGAATAGACCAAGACAAACTTTAAGATTTTCTTGTCCAAACCCCATTTCTTTCCCCAAAAGATAGACTTAAATCACCTCATATTTTCTAAAGCTTTCTTGCTTTAAAAAAATTTGAAAGAAGTCAACTTCATAACTGATATCAATGAACCATTCTGACTCACATTATTGGATTTTATTTTGTATTTGTATACCAAACAACCCCTACTGTATTTGACTGTTTATTCTTCTAAACTCAGTAAAGATCAGAAATACTGCTCACAATCTTGAGAAAACTGTTTATAGACTTGGAAACAGTCATTCAGCCATTTCTTAGGACGCTCTTCTCAACAATAAACAAGTCCTTTATTTTTCTACACTGGTCATATTTTCCAATACTTTTGAAGTTTTCCACATGTTTACCTCACCTGTCAAGGAAAAGGTGATGTCAGCTCTGCAGAAGGAGCTAGGATTGGTACAGGAATTGCTAGCAAGGGTTAGGGAAATGTAGATTGTACCTGCTGCAGTAGAGGAAGTATTAACATGGATAATACCTATTATCCAGATCCAGATAAGGACCTATTCGCTGCCAGTCATGCTGTCAGCCCCTAAACAAAATCTAAGAGACATTGGTAAATTTTCCTCTAGCCTAATTTATATGTTTTTGTTGTAATTTAGTCACTAAGTCATGTCTGATTCCTTTTGTGACCCCATGAACTGCAGCCTGCCGGGCTCCTCTGTCCATGGGGTTTCCCAGGCAAGAATACTGGAGTGGGTTGTCATTTCCTCCTCCAGACGATCTTCCTGACTCAGGGATCGAACCCATGTCTCCTGCATTGGCAGGCGGATTCTTTACCACTGAGCCACCAGGGAAGCCCTAATTTATACCTGCCCCTTGCTATTTCCTTGCTTTGAGTCACTGGACATTACTGATCATGTGAAAGAACACACACTCATCCTTATGACCATCTCCATCTGATGGAGAGAATTAAGTCCTTCTTTGACTGAGAACCACCGCTGAAGGTGAATTGCCAGTAGAGGTTAGAAGGAGCCTGTGAGGAGAGAGAGCTCTCCAATAGTCTTCAGGATCAACACGAAAAAGAAGATGAAGGGAAGATACCCAGGAACACAGAGAAAGCAAATACCTGACAAAGACTATGTTTGAACCTTAATGCCATCAAGACCTGAGGGTTGATATTTGCTGGAACATTTTAACAACTCCTGAATCTGTTCCCATCAGGAAGATTCCCAGTTTAACACAGAATGACCATCTAGGTGTTTTTCCCAAAGTTATCCATGCACACTGGAATTATTTTCATCCCTCTCTTTTATTTCTGCCTGGACCTTGAAAAAAATGAATACTGTCTGACTTTCACCCCTCCATTTGTTGAGAAAACGTTCCTAACTCTTGTACTCCTTGGTCCCTTTTATCTAAGCCTCATACTCTGTCTCTCACAGCTCACTGAGACCTTATTTTCTTTAGTCTCGGACAATCTTTTTGTCTGACATTTGCTCCAACAATAACATGTTTTTCAATATTCCCATATACTTCACTCAGAATTTAGTAGTATTTGTTGGCCCTACACATCTAGTCTCTCCATATATCTCTTGTGTACTCCATATCAACCATCTAGGAATGTGTAATGAAAATCTATAACCTACCTGATTGTCATCTAGGAAGACTAAAGTGCCCTGAGGAAATAACTAGCCGAAGCCATTCCATTCACCTTCTGTCTCTTGAATACTGGCAGACATGCAGCTCCAAATTGGATCTTTGACTGTGTCTCTTTATGCTTATTTTTTCTTAAAATGTAAACTAGGGTAGTTCTTTGCCATGTTTAACTACTCACTGGGGCAATATCACTTTAGCAACACATCTAGTTGAGCAACTGTGTTAGTTTCCTGTTACATAGGGAACAAAGAAGAGGCTTGCTTTTGCTCTGATGGTTATACTCCCCCCACCCCCCAACTATGTTGCTGAGAAACATATACAACAAATCATTTTCCTTTTCCTTTTCTATCATTCTCTATGGGAATTTTCAACTGCTTCAATTCAGTGTAAAATTCTTGCTGTGGGTAGAATTTTCACATTGGACTAGAACAGTTGGAAATCCCAAGTACATGGTTTAATCCCATAATTTATTGAAGCTGTATCAGAGATTTATTATTCAACTTGATCATCAGGATGGCATGTTTATACATATTTAATTTCTTGTTTCTCTTCTGAGTTGAGAAACTTATTAATCATAAGTCTTAGAACCATCTTAGCTTATTCATGGTGGTCAAGGCACATATTCTTAGATTCGGTCTGCTGAAAACAGTATTCTCACTGATTTTTATTTCTAGAAGCTCAGTTGTAAGGTAAGGTTGCACCTTGTATGAAACTTCCCTGTCACCTCACTTTCAGAAAAGAAAACATGCTTTCTTCATCATCACCATCATCATGCATACTTCATTCAGCCTTTTGAGCCCCAATATTTTGTTCTAATCATTTTATTACATATATGTTTAATATGCTTAGAGAAGGGTGGTTTCATTCGGAAGAGGAAATTTACTTACAAACTCTCAATAATCCTTTTCACCTTTGGTTTTCCAAAATCTGGAGCTTTGGCTTTCAGCATATGGAAAATCATTGCAAATTAACTGGCATTTCCTATATTACTGCATCTTCATAGCTAACAGATTTTATTACTACACCACCCATCAAAGGTCATGATCATATTCTGGATTTTATGAATAGTTTTAATTGAATGTAACTGGTTATGAGGCACAGTTTTTCTATGGATGTCTATGGTGAATGATTCTTTTAAGGGATTCCTTGTTTTAGATCTTTGCTGGTTGACTGCAGAATTTTTCATATGAAGAGTGAAATCTAAGGGTTGAATTCAAGGAGAAATATTCTTTTCAGAGACTTCCAGATAAGGAGGATGTCAGTAGTGTGATTTCCTCTTATTTTTTTTTTTTCCTCTAATTTTTAAAATCTGCTTCCTGGTTGATTTTCTAATGACTGATTGGTAACTAACCTAGTGTCTATACAGGCTTCCCTGGTAGTTTAGATGGTTTGGAGACCTGGGTTTGATTCCTGGGTCAGGAAGATCCCCTGGAGAAGGGAATGGCTATTCACTCCAGTATTCTTGCCTGGAGAATTCCATGGACAGAGGAATCCTGGTAGGCTACAGTCCATGGGGTCACAAAGAGTCAGACACAACTAAGTGACTAACACTTTTACTCCTTTCACTGGTGCCTATATTGTTATAGCTTGGTTACTTATAACTCAGGAGTGGAAGACTGGTCATTTTATCAGATAACTTTAGGACGCAAATTCTGATTGAAGCAATTTTACGTAACTTTGTTTGATGATGACTTTGTCTTTCTTCTGTTCCCTACAGTGGCAGTTTGTTTTAAATTCCCAGCAAGAATGTCTATTATTTATCTCTTTTTCTTAAGAGCAGTGGTCCTAATTTCTAAAGAATAGAAGAATATGCCCAGAAATAGATTCTGTGTTTAAAAAGGATGTGTTTAATTTGTAGTCCCACCACGTAATCTGATGATCGATATCCAGAAAGACACTGCGGTGGAAGGCGAGGAGATTGAAGTCAACTGCACCGCCATGGCCAGCAAGCCAGCCACGACCATCCGGTGGTTCAAAGGGAACAAGGAGCTCAAAGGTAAGGCACAAACTGCCCAGGACTGAGGAAGCCAGTCCACACTTGGTCCCAGAAGGAGAACATCTTTGTGGACTTAAAAGCAAATACAAAACACGCCCCAGAACAAAAGTACTCATTTATGTATGGTTTGTCATTCAGTTACTAAGTGTGTCTGAGGCCAGAGTGTGATGGCATTTTATTGTTCTGTTCATATCCTTATTCTGTTGTTTTGAGGGTTCATGGAGATAAGATGCTTGGTGATAATAAGCATCTATGTTGCTAGATGCTTACTCAAAGGCTCAGAGAGAACCAAACCCATAAACTATTGGGTTGGCCATAAAGTTCATTTGAGGTTTTCCATGAATGAGATGTTATGGGAAAATCTGAACGAACTTTCTGGCCAACCCACCAGAGCTCCCTAGACCAGTTAGAATCAATGAGATACCCTCTGAGCTCAGACTGGCCCTGTCTGTACCCTTAGTTCTCCTTGCTTTTACCCTATGACTCAGAGTAGATCAGGACCCCAAACTTGTGTTGTACATTGGAAAAAAAAAAAACAATGCATAGCAGTTTTGGCCATGGTGAATACCAAGTCATTCTAATATCTGTTGGCTGTTTTGACAACCTCCTTTCCTGCAAGGGTGGTTATGCTAAGTGGACTAAGAATTTATCCTCGTTGTCAACTTGCAGGCACCACCGTTCTTATGAAATCTGTAATTCAGTTGCCCGTGTCAGCAGCCTGTTCTTTCTCAAGGTTCTGATTTTGTGCTAGCAACAGAGGCAGCTCCATTAGCCCTGCTTCCGTTGTCTCTCCCTCAGCACTGGGCCATGCAGATTGGATTCCTGGATCCTTGGATACCTGCCCTCTTAGGCACTGCATTGGCTGAAGGATATAGCTAGTCCCCTTTTGATCTTTTTTTTTTTTTGGTCACTTATCCTAAGTTTCTCATGAATGTCTGCATTCTGATTCCTTTCTTTGCAAAAGGTTTTCTTGCAAGTAGTACCCAGAACAGAGGACTCAGGGGCTGAACACCCCTGCCTGGTCGTTTGACAGAAATGCTTGCTGTGTGCCTCAGTTTCCTCTCCAGTGGAGATATTAATGTTTACATACCTTGTGTTATTCTTATAAAGATGAAATTGAGTGAATATTTGTAAAACACAGAGCTGATGTCTAAGCCGAGGTAAAGTGCTCTCTATGTGCTTGTTAAATAAATAAAGAGTACTAGGAAGAAAAGAAGTCCTTTTAGAAAGGGGATATAAAAATCTATATCTAGAAACAGAAAAATCTATATATAACAGCTTTAGTTTCAAAAAGCTTGCTCTGTTTTAATCTCCTATTTCCTAGGTATGGTTTTTGGAAGGAAGGAGTTTCTCATTTCCCCTCTGCTTTTCTGTCTAAGTGAACTGAGCCATTAAATGTGTACCGATAAGTACAAAACATTAAAAGAAAGTTAATGGTGCGCCATGTCCCAGGGAGTGCTGAGTTCAGGAAAAGGGCCTCCTTGGCCTATTCATCCGATCCGGAAGCCTCCTCCCTCCTTTTTTGGGTGTTCTTGGACGTGGCTCCCTTCTGGCCTGAAGCCTATATCTTATTTTGCTTTGCCCACTGCCACTGCACTTTGTTGTGTTCTTCCAAAAGTCTCCGAGTTTAAACATTTCAATTACAATTTCAATTATGCCAATCCATTTAGCTGCTTTCCCTCTTAATTGTAGCTGATGGGGGTGGGTGAAGGGGGCTGTTTATATCTCTACTCTGATTAAATTACTTAAGGATGTGGATGATGTCCTGGAATTTTTCCACTGCATGACAGCCTAGTAGATGTGCTAAGTTCAGATGGTTGTCAGGGAAAAGAAGTGCTTCTCTTTTCCTCCTCCCAAATGCCTTGAGCAGTCAGCTGTCAAAATGGGTCAACTTGCAGCTGCCTTTTTGTGGGAGATTTTTAAGATAGAAGAAGCATATATTTAAATAAAAACAGTAAATAGTAGGCTTCCCTGGTGGCCCAGGAGATAAGAATCTGCCTTGCAATGCAAGGGGCACTGGTTCAATCCCTGGAAAGATCCCACATGCTGTGGAGCAGCTGAGCCCGTGCACCACTACTGAGCCAGCAGTCTAGAGCCTGTGCTCCACAATGAGCAGCCCACACACCGCAACGAGAGAGCAGCCCCTGCTCACCACACCTGGAGAAAGCTGGTGCACATAAATGAAGACACAGCACAGCCAAAAACATAAATAAATGAATAGTAAATAGTATGTGCAGGTGATTTTATCTTAAATACTTTCCCATGAGGCTGAAAAGTAGGGAAATTATCTTTTTATCATTTATGTACCCCCAGATTACCCTTATCCCAAGTGACTTCCATTATGTCTGTTTGTTAAAATAGTAATATTGGGTAACATGGAGGGAGGAGGAGATATTTAAGAAAAGAGTAAAATTCACTCAGCTCTGGTTTCCTGGTATGTTTCTTGTCCACCCCCCATCCCCCAGGCAAATCAGAGGTGGAGGAGTGGTCAGACATGTACACTGTGACAAGTCAACTGATGCTGAAGGTGCACAAGGAGGATGACGGGGTTCCAGTGATTTGTCAGGTGGAGCACCCTGCTGTCACCGGAAACTTGCAGACCCAGCGGTACCTGGAAGTACAGTGTGAGTAGCTGTCTCAGTCCTCTCTGGCTGCGGTGACAAGCTGCCACAGGCTGGTGGCTCATAAACAACAGAAATGTATTGCTCACAGTTCTGAAGGCTGGGGAGTCTAAGGTCAAGTTAACACCATGATCATGTCCCAGTGAGATCCCTCTTCCTGGTCCGTGGCTTGTGCCTTCTAGCTATGTCCTTGCATGGTGGCAGGGCTGGAGATCTCCCTGGAACCACGTTTATAAGGGCACTAATCCCACTCGTGAGGGTCACACCCTCCTGACCTAATCACCTCCCCAAAGCTCCATCATCACACTGGGGATCCGGATTTCAACATACAGAACACAAATACTAAAACCATAGCATTACCCAAGTCTTTTATTCTGAGGGTGTAGATTAGCAGTTTTTGGGTTTTTTTTTTTTTTTAAACACTTCAGAAGCCACTTATTAAATACATATGTTTTTATGTAGTTTAGATAGAATTTTTATCTTGTTGTCTTGGTAGAAAAATAATCAAAGGATTATTTTACTGAAACACTGCCATATTACAGAGTGCCAATGAGGATTTTGAAAATGCTACATTTAACCCAAATGTAAAATTTGAAAATATTTCCAATCTGCTCTAGCGCATGACTTAATTAATTAAATTTTGTGAATATTGACTGTAATCATTTCTATGCCAACTTCAAAATCTAGGGTAATTTCCACCCCCTGGCTTTACTAACCCCATCATAAGTGCTGGATTTTTTTATAGAAGGGATTTTATTCTCAATGAACGTCAGCATCCTTTTTTAAATTGCACATTCTCTTCCATTTTAGCTTAAATTATACTGACGAGTTTAAAAGTGGAACGCTTTGGGATGGGTGCCACGGTTTTGATGGCTTCATCAATAAAAGCTGGATCATGATAAGTGAGGTCTCTCTTCTCTGAGCCCTGTCTCCTCATCTTCTCCTCTGGACTCTCCTACTTGTGGATAAGAATAATGTGTTTTCTGCACACAATTATTCTTGCACTAAGGTTGTGGCTAAGTAGTCAGCTTCTCAACTTTTTATCAAAAGGCTTCTGTAACTTGACCTCTGCAGATCCAGGTGCTATTTGAGTGTGCATAGTGAAAATGTTACAAGAGTTTGATTGGATGACAGTGACAGAGCATTGAATAAAGGAAAAGCATTACTCTCTATGATGATTTTATTAATCTTCTAGGCCTGCCATAACAGATTACCACAAATTCAGTGGCTTAATAAACAACTGACATTTATTCCCTCATAGTTCCAGAGGACAGAAGTCTGAAATAAAGGTGTTGGCAGGACAAACTCCCTCCAAAGGCTCTAGGAAAGGATCTTTCCTTTCCTTCTGCAGCTTCTGGTGACTCCAGGTGTTCCTTGGCTTGTGGTCACATCACTCCAGTCTCTGTCTGCATATTGACCTAGCCATCTTCTCTTCCCTGTGTGTCTCTTATAAGGGCATTTATTGGACTTGGGGCCCACCCAGATAACCCAGAATAGTCTAAATTCAGTATCCTTAGCTTAATTACATCTGCAAAGATCCTACTTCCAAATAAGGTCACAGTCACAGATTCCAGAGGTTAGGAAGTGGGTCTATCTTTGGGGGGCCATCATTCACACCCCTTACAATTTTTATCACTTGTTTTAAGTTGCAAAACAGGGGACGGGGGAAATTATAAAAAGTTGCTTCTACCAGGCTATCCCACTGCAACCTACCCTGTGAGCTTGGCTCAGTTTAACATTACATAACGCAGGTTTTTCTTGTTAACTCATTTCATCTACTTCATTATGTACCTTCATTATGGGCATCATGCTTATAATTTTCATATCACTAAAACTATTGTGGTGTAATGTCCCTATAATGGGAAAACAGAAACGATCGGATATTACCTAAATTGGCAGATAGTAGATTTCTTGTGACTTTGTTAATATGTAATTCATTTAAGCAAACTTAATATCCATTAACTTTCCTTGTAGGGGCCCATTAGCTTTAATAATGCATTAGCTCTTTTGTGAGACTTGAGTAGCTATTCACCCAGTTCCCACCCCTAAACTCTTAGTTTCCCAGGGTGTCTTCTAAATAGAATATAGCCCCACCCACCTAAAAAATTACACTCACTCCCGAATGCAAAATATTTCAAGCAGTACACCTCCTACCCCTTGGAAGACTTGCTAATGATCTTTATAAAGCCTTTTCTTTTGAAGATTCAAGTGAGATTTGTCCTTCTAAGAAAAGGAATAAAGCTGCATATCTGAATCCATTTGACTTCAATCTTACAAAGTCTTGCTAGCCCTTAACTGCAGGAAAGTGACTGTAATGCCTTCCTCAAATCGAAGACACGTCTTTGGATCCTTTTTAGCTCTAACATGGCACCTTTTTATGGGAGCCTATATTCTTTTACTCAGCATAAGCCATGCAAACATCTTATCCTTGATATTCTGCTTCTTGGAATGTATGTGAGAGAAAATGTCATGTCTTTTTGTGTAGAAGAGGGTTAAGAATTACAAAGTGTTATGTTAATCTGAATGGAATTCATAGTCTGGTTTGGCACCTTAAATAAGATGCTCTGTTCTCAAGAAGGTCACCTGGCAGTTCTTTACCCTCCCTTCCTAGAGCACTACTGAAAAATCTGCCCAGTCAGCCAGAAATTCCTTAAGTAGCATCTTCAGACATGATTGGAATTCCGTACTTCATTACCTACCAGCTTTACTCTGCTTGAACACCAGCAGCTATGGATAACAAAAAGCCTCATGCTTCAGATACCCAAAGCATTCAGTCATTGTGTGCTAGAACTTTCTCATACCTTGGCCAGTGGTGTTGGGGGTTCAACTCCATTCCTCTCATGGTAACCCCCACTCTACAGACAAGCCATGCCATATCTTGATGGCTTGAGAAAAGAAGAGATACTTGAATGAACGCATAAGATTCAATAGCCAGTCTTCCTGGGTAGTGAATTATTCCAGATACTCTGTGAGGAGTAACATTAGACCATTATTTTTTTGAATTGGAGTTCATGGGTTTCCCAGGTGGCTCAGTGGTAAAGAATCTGCCTATCAAGCAGGAGACTCTGATTTGATCCCTGGGTCAGGAAGGTCCTCTGGAGAAGGAAATGGCAACCCTAGTATTCTTGCCTGGGAAATCCCGTGGACAGAGGAGTCTGGCAGGATATAGTCCAGGGGGTAGCGAAAGAGTCAGACACAACTGGACGAAAACAACAGCAGCAGTAGTTCATTTACAGTGTTGTATTACAATGTCGTATTGTTGTATAGCAAAGTGAATCAGTCATATGTATATGTATCCACTCTTTTTTAGATTCTTTTCCCATATAGGCCATTCCAGAGTATTGAGCAGAGTTCCCTGTGCTGTATATTAGGTCTTTATTGGGTATCTGTTTCACTGCAGCACTATTTACAATAGACCATTATTTTTTTAATTGGCCCAAACCCTGGCGTCAGCAGTTCTTAACCTTTTGTGGATCATTGACCCCTTTAAAAATTAAATCCTTTTCCAGCTATAGAGCTGGAAATGATGAACATTCACCCCATTTTGCTTCCAGTATAAGGAGTCTATTTATCCTATACAATTTTACTAAGTTTAGTTATTTGAGGGCCAATTTCATCACAAGCTTTAGCAAATCCACAGGTCATCTGTGTCCTTACCTCATTTAGAATTTTTCATTTTATTTATTACTTTAACCTAACCAAGACCTGTGCAAAAACGCCTATAAAATTATAAGTTTTACTTGCTATCCAGTAAACATTAGAATAAGCATACAACTATTATTTTTGAATTTCCTTTCCTTTCCCATGTAAAAAGATTTCTTATACTATCAGTGATAAACATTATTTTATCACCAGGACATCCTGAGCTGGTCCATGGACCTCAGACTAAGAATTACTCTACCCTGTGTAAATGAGACTAACTTGGAGGCAAATCTGACCTGATAGGATTGGTATTTTTATGAACTCAGTTCAACCCTGGCCCTTTTGCTACAAGAAATTTTATGGAAGCCTCTCTGTGCCTCCTCTAAGATGGATGGATATTAATCAGGATAAGAACAGAGTAAAATGACACGTAATGGATTTGAATACTGTATAAATTATGTCCTTTTAGAAAATACTATTTCTAAAAAGGAAATAATGAAAACTGACACTGTATGCCATTAAATATCTTACTTTTTAAATAACAGGAGCAAGGAGGGGGATAAAATGAAGGGAAGGGCTGCCCACCCCCCTGGGCACAGAGTGCCACCTTGTTGCCTGGAAGACAAGGCTTGAGCTCCAACTTGGAAATCCTTCAGTCTTGTGGATTTAAGACCTAATTAATTGAACACTGAATTTTGCAGTGTGTGTTTGCTAGGACACTTATTTGTGGTACCAGGAGAAATTGTTGTGCCCAATTACATGAAAAATCAGCCAGATGTGTATGCTGTCATACTTTTAATAATCCTTACGTTTTTGGTGAGTACAGCTATTAATTGTGTAGTATGCATTGAAGTGATTAACATCGATGTAATTTATCATCTGGAGATTTCTGAACATAAATAAATGAGTTGTTTTGTTCAGCAAGGTGTTGACCTCTCAGAATTAGTGAATTAAAGTCCCCCCTCCCTTTTTTTTTTATTATAAATATGAAAAGCACCACAATCAGCCAAGTGTTCAGTTATTTGATTTTCTGGGGCATTAGCCGCTCTTGTTTGTGACATTTCCCTGTTGGGTGCTCGTTTGCAAGCTCATTAATAAGGTTTTCTCACAGGACCGTTGCCGGGAAGGAAGAACGTACAGTAGGGCTCTTAGTCTTCCAGCTTTCATTCTGAGACTCAGCAAGGAGACGGCAGCAGCACGCAGTTAAATGTTTAAAACAGAAAATAATTATGCTCGCGAGCTGGAATTCAAAGCTCTCTTTCCTTAGATGTTAGGCAGAAAACAGTTTTGCTCTTTAATGTTCTGAAATGTATGACCCTAAACTCTTTCTGTGCGTTTTTTTTTTCTTTCCCGTGTCTGTG